AATACATTTTTATAGTAAAAAGTTTTAATAATAGTTTTTAATAGTAAAAAAATAAAAAAAACATTACTGAAGCTCCAATGAAAATTAAATTTCTGCAGTAAATGACCATAAGGAGTTGATATGCCGTTAACCAAATCAAATGTCTTTAACACCCACCTAAATGTTTTTGCATTAATGCAGGCGTTCCCCAGGGCTCTATCCTTGGACTTACATTGTTCCTCATTTTTATCAACAACGTTCCTGATGTCATCAGTTCTCAATATGAGACAACTATTTATTCCTGTCTTAATAGTAAGTCTGATTGGTATGATAAGGTCAAATTGGCAGCTGATCTCAAAAATGACCTACAATATGTTGTTAACTGGGGCAAGAAATGCCTTGTTAATTTTAATGCTTCCAAAATGAACCTGTTCTCTATTAATCGTCTGAAAGAATCCTTTTTCTGCTGTCTATCAACATGGCTATGCTAACCTCCAAGAGAGTGACTTGCTTCTCAGACAAACGGTTTTTGCTGATCTGCAGTGCAAAGATTATATTGACTCAATTGCTAGGTCTGCTGATAGGAAAGTTGGTTCACTGTTTCGTGCTAATCATTTTTTCTTTTCACTTTTGGAAAAGATAAATTTTTAACACTACCTTTTGGTTAATTATTATTTTACTAATTTTATCATTTGTTTCTTACTACTCCTGTCCAATAATATTTGATAGATTCTGTGCATAAAAATTGTATGCAAATGTGACAACAGTTACCAGATGGTAATATTATTATTACTATTATTTTTTATTTTATTTATTTCCTTTTTTTTTCTTTTTTTTTTTTTCCTGTTGACATTTTTTTTGGCAGATCAACCAGGAAATTAAGCTTTAGGAAATCTGAATTTTTCAAATTTTTAATAATATAAAAGTTATTTAACCTTTTTAATAAAAAGTTTTTCAGACAATCAAAATGTAATATTTAATTTTATTTTTCCTTCAGCATATATTTAAATCTTAATAATTTGATTTTTTAAAAACAATAAAAATTTAATAATCACTGACATTTTTTTTCTCCCAAAAGCAACTATCAATTTTTTATTCCCTTAATCAATCAGAAAGCTTCTTTAACAATATAGATTCCATCTGGTTTCATTCTTGCTGAACAGCTGCAAATAAACAATCTTTGTTTCTGAAAATTCTTCAACTATGAGACATGAGCATTTTTCACCAAATGCTGTTTAGGGTTGTGGGGTCTGGAGACTGACAGGTGAAAAGGAAATTTGAATCTCTTAATCTTGGAAGAAATTTGGATTGATTTTTCTGAGTGAGGTTCAATATTATCCTATTGTTTTCAAGATGATGAGTGATCAAAAATTTTACATGTTGTCTTTTTTTTTTTTTTTTTTTTTTATTAAATTTTCATTTTTTGTCATGTTATCATTTTGTTTCTAGATTGAATTTTTCTAAAGCCATTAACACAAAAAGTGAAATGCAAATCAATATATCATTGATCACTGTCAGCAAAATGGCAACCAACTAAGGTGTGTTGGTTTGTTCCTTAATCCCCCCCCGCACTCTGACCAGCTAAAGTATCTAGAAAAATTATTGTTATTCTCAAAAAATTGTTAATGTAAAATTCACTCACAGAAAAAAAGAATTAGTCTTACAATTTGAAATATATTTTGACTTTAAAAAAAAACCCACAAAGTGTTGATAAACTGTAAAAAAATAAAAATGTTTCTTGCTTTTAAGGATCAGCTGGGTGGAAGTGTAGATTGGTTTTAACACAACAGCTCCATTTTTTATTTTTTTTATTTTTTTTAAGCCTTGGTAGCCTTCCATAGATATTCGGGGATTTGAGATGGCTTAGGCAATTGCCAAGCTGGGGATCAAGCAACAGGGAGTAATCGCTGACCTGACTTATTGGGAAGAATAGATTTCCAAGGTCAAGAAGATAGAATAAACATCAACTACCTCAGCTGGAATTTGTTCTTTGCCAATTCTGTTTTTGTTGTTGTTAACTATTACACCACTCTAACTCGTTTATTACTTCAAAAATTTAAACTCTGACAGGAATCGAACCAGAATAAGAAATAATGTTGGATAAAATATCCTTTAAAAAAATAATCTTTTATATGTCGGGATTGTTGCTTTTTCCCTTGGGTATTAACTATCCTGGGTAAGACAATAACCTACATCCAACAGCAAGTTTTCTGATCTGGAGGCTTTGAGGAGATTGTAACCACCTCTTAATTGCTGGTGTTCCCAGGTCTACCCTGACCTGGGGTGGTAGCACCTGTTAGGGTCCCAGCTATTGGAAAATACATGACCCCCAAAGTGGAGTCAAAGCACTATGAAAGTGTAAAAATAGATTATGATACCAGCAATACCTTTTTTCAAAAAAAAATATTACCAGCAATAAAAAATCTTGTAGGCATTAAATAACCTATTGAGGTTGATATACCATAAAACAAATCAAACGTTGGGTATTGAACTAAAAACTAACTTTAATGAGGTATAAGCATCTCCATCTTTGTTGCTTCCTTTACTGTTGTGGGCAGTGAGTCTCAGAGGGCATCATATGTTTATCCTCGTCTTTCACTTTCTCACATGTCAAGCAACGGGTGTTGGTCAAAGGCAGAAGAGTAACACTTACTCACCCGAGTTTCTCAAACTTAGTCTAGTTGGGAATGTAACAAATACTCATTTTATCTTTTGTCTCTGCCAATCACCAGCTATTCATCTGTTTTCTTTCTCCAGTGCTTTTCCTTGGCAACACATTCACAATCATCAAAAAAAAAAAAAAAAAAAGGCATTTGCTAGATTCTCATTTAGACAAAGTTTGCAAGAATCTTGAGTGAGTCTAAGTTTTACATTTCTGTCCTGGAATCTCAAGTTGTTTTAGTTGTCCTGGGTATGACAATAAACTATATCCATGTCCTGAGTAAGATGATAAACTATGTCCAACAGCAAGGCCTCTGATCAGATTTTGAAGAGTGTGGAACCACCTCTTAATTGCTGGTGTTCTCAGGTCCACCCTGACCCGGGCTGGTAGCACCTGTTAGGGTTCCAGCTATGGGCAAATAGTTGACACCCAAACTTGTGTAAAAATAGGTTTTAATACCAGAAATACTTTGTAATAAAAAAAAATATATATATTACCAGCAATAATTTTGGAAGGAAAAATTATTATCAGCAATAATTAAAATTTACAGGGAAACATATACTGTTAGTGTGTAGATTTTGATCTAGTGTGAACAAAATATTACCAAGTGAGTATTTTTTTTTTAAAAAAACAAACTTTTTACAAAAATAAAATCATCCAAGATTGTAAATTTCCTAAAAGAAGTTGGATTGTACTCAAAAATGAGTAATTGAAAAATGTTTCAAATATATATGTATACATAAACACCTTTTTTACCAAATTATTGCTATGAATTGTTATACTAGACATTACCTATTCTATTGTAATAGACTCTCCCACACATAAGTAGTAGTAGTAATGGTCGCCAGTTGGGCTCAGTGGAGTTGAGTGAGTCAGTCGATGTCGGACATTGAAGTATCAACCACCCCAACTAGATTGCTGCGTCATTAACTATTATTGCAAGTTCCTAACTTTTTGTATGTCGGACCCTTTTAGGACCGACTTATTGAAATACAAGCCTCCACTGTGAAAACTACTTTACAACATGAATCTATTTAAAAAATTTTGTTGGCATTAAATGACCCACTGAGGTTGATATGCAATAAAACCAAACAACCACGCAACCAAGATGTTTTGGCATATTAATATGACTGATAATGACTATTGTCTATGCAGATGATCTAGCTATCTCTACAGACATTACCAATGCCACATCTTTTCTAGATCATTTAGAAAATGCTGTTTATGATGTTGGACTCATGTCAATGCCTCGAAAACTGAATTCATAAGCTTCAACTAAACTTGAGACAAACTGTCTCGGGTGAATCAATAAAATCTGATGAAGTGAAAATAAATTCTACTGAAAAGGATGTGAAAATTTGCATAGCTAAAGCTTGAACTGCCTTGAATAAAATGGATGTAATCTGGAAATCTGGTCTACCAGAAAACCTCAAATGGAGCTACTTTTGTACCACTGTGGAGTCTGTTTTTTAATGTATGGTGCCACTGCTTGGATATTAACTAAAAACCTTGAGTCTAAGCTTGATGGAACCTACACTGGGTTGCTGAGAGCTATATTTAACATCTCTTAGCGATAACATCCAACTAAATCACAGCTCTTTGGATCAATCCCTAATATTTCTACAGTCTTACGCAAATACAGGATTTGCTTTGCAGAACACTGCTGGTGAGCAAAATCAATCATGTAATCTACTGTTCTGGACATCTAGCTATGGTGCAAGACTGGTTGGTCACCTGGCAATCATCTACATTGATCAACTATTATGCCACAGGATGCCATGCTAATGACCTTCTAAACTTGATGCAGGACTGTGATGTTTGGTGTGGTACCAAATAAATAGCTTGACCAAATAAATATGAGTGAGATGGAAATAAAAATACAACTGTACACAATTTGGTCAAGCCATTTATTGGTGATGGCAATATGGTTACATGGCTAAAAAAGATAAGGTTAGTTGCATACATCGCCATGTTTTTCTTTGTTGAAGAGTGGACTGAACAATTAAGTTAATCTATGAAACTCTAGAGTCGAGAAAATGAATATAACATCAATCAGCTAAGTGACAAATTTTATTTGTATTAATCCTTTAAGAAGCTCCTCTGCCCTTGTCAGGCCTTCTCTTTCATCCTGTGAGGTGACATGCCACCCTTCTCACAACAGGAAAGTTAGTGGGGGGCTGGGTTAAATATTAACCACATGCCTATGTAGCAGGTTATACTGGGTTATATGTTACCAATAGCAGGTCTAGACCTGACCTGACCTTCAAAAAAAAAAAAAAAAAATTACCTGTTGGGAATAGAGGTGTAAGTTTTTTTTTTTAAGACAATTTATTTATTAAATATATTTTTATCGTTTCAGGTTGTCCCTGTGAATCAGGTTACAGATCAATATCGTGGAAAGTAAGAAATGGCAATTACAATTCTTTCTTGAATGTTCTTTGATCTTTCTGTGCTTATTGCAAAATTGATTGATGCCAAATGAAACTTGTTGAATCGGACAAATTCTTCAGAGTGCAAATAGACCTGATTGATTTGATATGAACATGGCTCGGAGGGAAATTATGTGGTGCATTGTTGTAATTTAGGAATAGATCCCATACTTATTAATTTTATTGATTTTTATCATTTGAATAAAAAAAGCATTATCTATAATTTTGAAGAATTTCACTGTCAATCTCCTCCACATTGTTCTTTGGCATAGAATCATTTTTGGTCCGAATTACCAAAGCATAATCTCAATAACATTAAGAAAATAATTATTGATGTTTGTCTACATGCATTCTCTCAAATTCTCTAACATTATTGTTTGTGGTTTAAGTCAACAAGTCAAAGATTTCAGCAGATTGAATGATAAAAGAATTGTGTCTCTCTGTCTGCACCCATTGAGTCAGTGTATGTCTGTCTGTCTGCCCCCATGCGTCAGTGTGTGTATGTCTGTCTGTCTGCCTACCCCCGTGCATCAGTGTGTCTGCCTGCCCCCATGCGTCGGTGTGTGTATGTCTGCCTGTCCCCATGCGTCAGTGTGTGTATGTCTATCTGCCTGCCTGCCCCCGTGCATCAGTGTGTCTGCCTGCCCCCATGCGTCAGTGTGTGTATGTCTATCTGCCTGCCTGCCCCCGTGCATCAGTGTGTCTGCCTGCCCCCATGGGTCAGTGTGTATGTCTGTCTGTCTGCCTGCCTGCCCCCATGCGTCAGTGTGTGTATGTCTGTCTGCCTGCCTGCCCCCCATGCGTCAGTGTGTGTATGTCTGTCTGTCTGCCTGCCTGCCCCCCCATCTGTCTGTCTGTGTGTATGTCTGTCTGTCTGCCTGCCTGGCCCCATGGGTCAGTGTGTATGTCTGTCTGTCTGCCTGCCTGGCCCCATGGGTCAGTGTGTATGTCTGTCTGTCTGCCTCTGCCTGCCCCCATGCGTCAGTGTGTGTATGTATGTCTGTCTGCCTGCCTGCCCCCATGCGTCAGTTTGTGTATGTCTGTGTGTATGTCTGCCTGCCCCCATGTCTGTCTGCCTGTGGTGTGTGTGTGTCTGCCTGCCTGCCTGCCCCCATGTGTCGGGTGTGTGTGTGTCTGCCTGCCTGCCTGCCCCCATGTGTCGGTGTGTGTGTGTCTGCCTGCCTGCCTGCCCCCATGCGTCGGTGTGTGTCTGCCTGCCTGCCCGCCCCCATGTGTCGGTGTGTGTCTGTCTGCCCGCCCCCATACGTCGGTGTGTGTCTGTCTGCCTGCCCCCATGCACCAGTGTGTGTCTGTTTGCTCATTGGAGCAGTGTGTGTCTCCATGCCAGCATCAACGTGTGTCTCCCTGTGCCCATCTCTCTATCCAGACACCAAGACACACACAGTGTGTCCCTGTCTGTCTCTCTCTCTTTTGACCTGAGCAATGATTGAACTAAACACAAAACGCATATAACATTTGATAGATTCAAGAAAAAAAAAAAAATAAACACCCCCAAGATTTTCAAAACAGATTTTCAGAATAAAAGGAGGGAATTTCGGTAGGGGAGCGACTGAACTTTTACTCTTTCCTGTTTTTATTTACAGGATTTTCTTTATTGAATTACAATACCCTAGTATTCTATGGAACTTTTTGTATGCTTTAGTTTATTTATTTAATCATTAGTTATGAATTAAAACAAATTACTCTTCAATTGTACATGTATTCCATTCTAGTTTTAAAATCCATCAACATTTTCTATCGCTATTTGTACAATTTCTCTATAAAAATAATCCATCTAAATATATATCTATATATATATATATATATATATATATATATATATATATACATACACTAATATGGACAAGAATTAAGATTTTCAATAATATATGCAAAGGTGCCACATACTAAATAAATGCTAACACCCTTATATTTAACTGACTAATTGAACTAGGCTGGACACTGTAAATGTTTATAGTCTCAAATACAAATGACCAATATCTACTGTGTCCTGGGTAAGACAATAAACCACATCTGACAGCAAGACCTGATCAGGAGGGTTTGAGGAATGTGGAACCACAATTGCTGGTGTTCCCAAGTCTACCCTGACCTGGTGTGGTAGCACCTGTCAGGGTCCCAGCTATGGGAAAATACTTAACCTCCCAAAAGGGGTTAAAACACCATGAAAGTATAAAAATAGGTTTTAATACCAGCAATACTTTTTTTGGAAAAATTATTACCAACAATACATTTTTGGAAAAAATATTGCCAGAAATACTTTTCAAAAAAAAAAAAAAATTACCAGCAATAAAAATTTTGTCAGTATTAAATAACCCAGTAAGGTTGATTAGGTAGAAGGTGGATGGATATGATCAGTGATTTTGTAAAGATTGATCTTGCTCTAGAAGCTGGTGTTGCTCTTTTATATCCTTTCCAGTCCAGTCATCGTGGCTGTGGCTGTGATGATCTGTGTGTGGATTTCTGTGTTGCAGGTGACATTTTTTGACAGGGTTGCTCACAAGTATCATATTTAATTACCAATCCTTACTTATTCCTAAAGCAATATGCTTATACACTTAATTATAGCTTGATTTCAACATTAACATAACAAAAGTTGACATGTAAAATCAACAAATCCAACCCAATATTTACTTATTACTGGACCAAATTAAATGACTTAAGTTAATGACTCAAATTGCTTGTGTAACTCACTTTCAGCTCCTTGCTTCTCAGTCTACTTTGATCTTCCAAAATTGAAATGCAATGTCAATCGTTATCTTCTGTCTTCTTAATTCCTGTTCTTTTATTGTTCTCTCTCCTTAATAGTGTTTTTTTCCCTCATTTTCTCTAACTCAGTAAGCCCTTGCATCTTAGTGGAGTGAAGTGATTTAAAAAGAAAAAAATAAGGAAGCATATTGCTTACTCAGAGAATAAATCCAGGCATGCTTATAAAATTAATTGGGGAGTGGTTCTTTAGCAATATTATAAGGAGTAAGACTCTCAGAATTGACTTTCAAAATAAGTCAGTCAGATCAACTATTACTCTATGGTACCTAGACTTTATGAATTTAAGTACAGTACTAGATTAGCAGTTAGGTCTCATCATTTTACAGGTGAAATGGTTAGAGGGAACCATAAGTTCTATGCTAACAGTTTCTTTTCTCACACTTCTTACCTGTGAATCTCATTTTTGGCTTCTTGCTTTTCAGCCAACTTTGATCTTCAAAATTTAAATGCAATGTCAATTGTTATCTTCTGTCGTCTTAATACCTGTTCTTTTGTTGTCCTCTCTCCTTAATAGTGTTTATTTTTCTCATATTCTGTAACACTCAGTAATCTCTTGCATCTTAGTGGCTTTATTGCTTTGCTTGGAGTGAAATGATTAAAAGAAATAAAAAAACAAAAAGGATTGTGATATCATAAAAGCAACCCATCCCAGCATAATACTTGTTTATATGTAGAATGAGTTTCATTTTTTTTCTCAACCAACAGATTACTATTCTGAGAAATGCCTGGCCTTTGTATATTTACTCTATTGTAACTAGTTGCTTGCAATGCTTAAACATATTTTATTTCTTGCTATATTCAATAAACACTTCTTTGTCTTCCTAACCTTGAATTTATTATCTTTTCTTATTTCCTCCTCAGTGAAGCAGTGCCACTATCTGGTCAAAGGCATATTGAGAGTGGGTGGGGCCTTATATGGAATATAAAAACGGGGATGAAATCTCAGAAATAATTAAAATATTTTGACCGTTTATTTCAGTAAGGCCTGCATTCATTTCTGACCACTGACAATCCCTGTCTTCCTCATTTTCAATGCATTCCTATAGTAAAATCATTAGCAATGCATTTCCATTATACATATAATGGCCTTATTCTATCAGTAATGTTTGCCTTCATTCCTGACCACTGACAATCCCTTCTTGATTTTTAATGAATTTTTTTTATACATATAATAATGCTATTCTGTCAGTAATTCTTGCATTAATTCTTGACCAGTGACAATGTCACTGTTCCTGTCTCAATGAACAACACATAGATGTAGATGGAAGATTTCAGAATTCCATAATGAAATCATCCAATTTGACTTTGTCTTCTTCCAATGATTCTCATTCACAGTTCTTTGAATGTCATTTATGTGAGGATCAAAAAGACTTACCTCCCACAAAGTGAATTTGCTTGGGGTGTCAGGTCCTGTTGAAAGATCATGACCAGCATTAAAAGGGAAAATGGATTATTCCAAAGTTCCTATCTCGTGGACAGATGAACAAAGAAAAAAAAAACTAATTCAAACCAGGTTGAATTTATAAAATATGCAAGTTTTAGCTGCCCCCCGACGCAGGCATAAATAACAAGTCTGTGAGGAAGATGGTAGAACTTTTGTTGGTGTGACAGCGTCCATACATTACTGATGAGAACAAGAGAATAAGGAAGAGGTCACTTGCGACAGCTCAGTTGGTAGAGTGGAGGACTGGAAAAGAAAGCAAGCACTTCAATCCATTTCAGTCATCGCAAACGATAGGTGAACTGAATTACCCACAGTTTATTTTCCTACCCCATGAGTGACACTTAAGAGTGGATTTTTACAAATTCTTCCGTGAAGTGGCTGATGAAAAGTGACTTTTTACACTCCACGTATCTCTGATATTTAATATGAAGTGAATGCAAAAAATTTTCAGTGCTGACTTTTGCACAATATTTTCAAGATCTTGGAAGTGTCGTTTAATTATTCCCAGCTCTTTATTGTTAGTACAATGATTATGTCAAATAAATTCTGAAGCTTAGAAAATGGGTTTTGCATGAATTTATGTAGAAATGGAGTATTATTGCCACATCTGGGTTGGAGCTACACAATCCTCACTTTCCAGCTTCCACAGAGTTCAAAAGCATTTCTGTGGCTTTGTGGTTGATGAATTATTTTCCAACTTGCAAACTTTGTCTCACAGATAGAACATTGCTAGCTTCTTGCTACAATGTCATTATTTTCATAGCAAATGTTCAGACAAGCTACATTCCTTGATTTCACCAGTTCAGACCTTCACAACTAGGACCCACCATGCCATATACATTAAGTCAATCCATCTTTATTCCATTCATATTCCATTGGTGAGGAGGAAGTTCCACACAATTTCTTCTTTAGAATGGTTGCAATGTGAAATGGATTCCTGAAATTATACTTCCCTGATCATTACACTCTTAACCTATCCAAGTTTAGGGCTGTTATTTATCCTATGTATCCTAGCAATATGCATCACTTGTATACTTTTAAAACAACCTCATTCAGTATCTCTGTCTTGACTGGCTCTTGAGCCTTGTATCGGCTGAATAATAGTAAATTTTAAAAAAAAGGAACTTTGGTCTTGTATTTTTCTCCTTGATTCATAGTAAAAAGTCATTTCTGAATAAAATAGTCATTGGCCATGAAAAATGGATTCATGAGAATCTTAAACAAAAGAAATTGTGGCTTGTTTTGCCTTCAGCATGTCTTTAGAAATTTAAATATAAATTTTTTTGTTGGCAATTTCTGGAACCTGTGTTCACTGTTACTGCTACAGTGAGCAAATGGCTTGTTTTGATGACATATTGGAATAAAACTTAATTGCTTTGCTGCCAATGTAGTACAAATGAGCATAGAGCGGGCATGAGAAGTTATTCTACAAGCTGTTTATTTTTCATTAATCTCACTTGTTTCATTTTCGAACTTGTTAGCATTTTTAACAAGTTCAAAATATCGAAAAAAAATAGTTTGAAGAATTCCTCAAATCAAAAGTGAAATTATTGTGGAGAGCACAGTTTAACTAAAAACAGTGGTATCTAATCATAGAATTCCAAGAAAAATACTTTACTAACTAAATAATGATGCTATGAACCAAATAATGAAAAATGCTGCAAACTTTTGTTCTTTAGTAATTTATACAAATTTTCTAGATAGTTCAGAATTATCAAATATTTCTGTTCACATGCCTATATATGCAGTAGAAATTTCATTGCATGGTAACTTTTTATATTTGCTTTTAGTTTTCTTGCATTTGTTTAATAAATCATAGAGGAAATGAAAGTCTGGATGGATTTGTTTCATAAATCCTAGCCATAATATTCCAGGTTCCATAAAGAGCTAGTATTCAAATCATTTCTAATGCATTCCTATAGTAAAATCATTTGCAATGAATTTCTATAGATGCTTTTAGTATTTGCTATATCACTAGATATGGAATCATTAGAGGGAATGAAAGTTTGGATGGATTTGTTTCATAAATCCTAGCCATACTTAAAAGTATGATGGAAAGCTGGCATATTGGACTCTATCTGGAGATGACTCTGGAATGAGAAAGTTGAAGAATATAGCCTGTCAACTTGCTGATAAACTCTTATGCCATACAACTAAACATAATATTTTTCTGAACACTTGACTGATTGCCAGCTGGTTAGTCTTAAAGAAGTTGAGAATGTTTAATCTCATGAAATTTGTGAATTTGTGTGCAAATTATTTCTGGAATGTCTCTTGTCTCTGTTGTTACTGGAAATAGAAAATCTGCCATTGCTGAGTTATATCAGTTGTTGCCAAAGGGTGTCTCAAGGAATGATTTCAGGTTTGACTCAAAAGAGAATCAAAGACGTATTTTAAAGTTTAATAGGTATCTTTTCATTTCCCTGTGAAGATAGGTGTCCTGGAGAAGACGATAAATTACATCCAGCAGCAAGGTCTCTGATCAGGAGGTTTTGAGGAGCGTGGAACAACCTCTTAATTGCTGGTATTCCCAGGTCCACCCTGACCTGGGGTGGTAGCACCTGTTAGGGTCCCGGCTATGGGCAAATAGTTAACTATTACCAGCAATACATTTTTGAAAAAAGTTATTACCAGCAATACAATTTTGAAGGAAAAATATTACCAGAAACAGATTTTTGACAAAACAAAATATTAACCAGCAATAAAAAAAATGTTGTTGGCGTTAAATAACTCATTGAGGTTGATATACTGTAAAACAAAATAAACCAAACCAATCTAAACCAAAGAATACATATTCTATTCATACGAATCTATCCTAAAATGTCGGCATTAAATAACCTATTGAGGTTGATTATGCCGTAAAACAAAATAAACCAAACCAATCTAAACCAAAGAATACATATTCTATTCATATGAATCTATCCTAAAAATGTTGTCGGCATTAAATAACCCATTGAGGTTGATATGGCTTAAAACAAAATAAAGCAAACCAATCTAAACCAAAGAATACATATTCTATTCATATGAATATATCCTAAAAATGTTGTCGGCATTAAACGACTCATTGAGGTTGATATGCCATAAAACAAACCAAACCAAACCCTGTGAAGATAGATTTTCACTTCTGCCAAATACCGAAGACAGAAAATCCTCTGTGTATTGTTCAGTGTTTGTCTCAAATTAGACCTGCTATAGCAGTTACCCAATAAAAACGAGTTTATGCCTCTTTTTGAATTCCGATATGAAGATCACATGTATAAAAGGCTAGACTGTTAGTACTCTGTCATGCCAAAAAAATCATGAGATATCAGTGTGTAAATGTAATGATAGGTAGCGCCAGTCTTGATATCTTGCAAGTGCCCTAACCTACATCAGAGTAAGGTATTATAAATTATCAAAATTTAAATAGGGCATGTTAGTGGGTTCCAGAGGGATTTGACATTCCACTTCTAAAATTATGGGGACATTTGACATCCTTTGGTTTGTGATATTAAGAATACCTGAGAGAAGTGGCCAATCACAGTTACTTAATGATTGTGACCTGATCAATCTGCTTAGGATTGCAGTAAAAACCAAGTCACACTGGCTCAGATCACAACTGTATTCAGTGCAAGGTGGTACCAGATGCATAAGTATAAAGGGCCAGGGTATCACATAGATACTCCAAGTCCATTCAGTGTTCTTTTATCTGACATGAGATATGGGAACAGAAGATCTACCAGGGTAACCCTTTCAACACATCTAGTGATATTACTTATTAGACCCTGAAAGAATGCAACATGAGACATGGTTTGACGAGTCTTGTTCAGTTTGATTATAGAGTTTGAGTGCTATTCAGACCCTGTGAGGTCATGGATCCCAAGGCACTCAGCTTGCTGGTAATGTTTTGATAATGGGGTAGGCTGTGTTCATGTGGAGTAGTTGAGTTTGCTTGACCAGTAACTACTATGTTAAACTGCTTTATGGCCACTTGCAGCTATTCATGAACTATATGTACCCCAGTCATGATGAATTATTCCAGCAGTCCCATTAGACCCAAGTTGCTCAGAATTGGTTTTTCTGAACCTACAAATATTAGTGCTGTGGACAGCTACCAAGATAGCATCGCTTGACATCTTTTCAGAAGTTTTCTAGCCACATGTGGAATTAATGAGTTGCTGCACTACACTGGGCTGGAGTTGTTCCTACACAATACTACACCAATCCCAAGACTTTTGGCACATTAGTGTCTATTTTAGAGAATGAATCATATTTTTACATTGCTGAAATATTTCATGCTTTCCAGATATCTGATGAGCCTTGTGTACAATGTTGTTTAAATCACAAATTGATTTGTCACAGTTTATTTTTACCTTATCACTAAAAATCTCGTGTTTGTGACATAATCATTTTTATTTTATAATCTTTCTTATTTCAGCTATTGCTGAATTATCTCCCTTTGAAAAAAAATGAGTGGGATTCCTGGAAAGAGAAACAAAGGTGAGATTTTTTTTTTCTTTTTTCCTTTTCTTTTTTCCTTTTCTTTTCCCTTTCTTTTCCCTTTCCTTTCCTTTCCCTTTCTTTTCTTTTCCCTTTCTTTTCTTTTCCCCCTTTTTACTTTTTTCCCCCTTTTTTCTTCCCTTTCTTTTCTTTTTCCCCCCTTTTTTCTTCCCTTTCTTTTCTTTTTCCTTTCTTTTCTTTTTTCCCCCTTTTTTCTTCCCTTTCTTTCTTTTTTATAACTGTATTTGTTTTTTGATGACAGTAGAAGCATTCACCTTTTAAATGCATTCAAAATTACTTTTCATTGTAACAGTTGTTATATCATCATGTAAAACTTTCAAAATAATGTTGTTTATTGATTTGATAATACGAGAGAAATATTTTCAATGTACATTTGTTTTTATACTAAGAGAGTCAGTTACGGTAAAAGGTTACTGTTAAAATGGTAATAATGAGGTGGTTAATATAAATAAAAGAGAATAAGAGGTGGAGATTATCAAGATAAGCAGGATAGATAATGATTGACCAGGCAGCACCAATAAAGAAGTTTGTTTCACAAAGAGGCACTAAAAAAGTCGTTCAAGTGGAAAGATAACAATGTAGCTCAAACAAAAGATTTGTAAACATTATGGAGAAGGTACTTTGACTGTTCGAACATTTGGAAAGTGGAAATTCTGACATTCTTTCATTCAGACGCTCTTTTCCTCAACACCATTTTCCTACACTCTTATCATGAAGGGCCCTTGATCAGAAAATGTAATTGAGTCATACTTACAAGATATTACACACTGATCTTTAGTAGAAAAGCCTAATGGTCATAGATAGAAACAAGCAGATAAATAGTATAGATTCTTGGTCAGAAAGCATAACTGATTCCAACTAAGAACGGCCAGGGTATCAGATAGATACTACACTCTGATCTTTGGTAGAAAAGTCTAATGGCCATAGATAGAAACAAGCAGAATAATAGTATAGATTCTTGGTCAGAAAGCATAACTGATTCCAACTAAGAATGGCCAGGGTATCAGATAGATACTACACTCTGATCTTTGATAGAAAAGTCTAATGGCCATAGATAGAAACAAGCAGAATAATAGTATAGATTCTTGGTCAGAAAGCATAACTGATTCCAACTAAGAAGGGCCAGAGGATCAGATAGATACTACACTCTGATCTTTGATAGAAAAGTCTAATGGCCATAGATAGAAACAAGCAGAATAATAGTATAGATTCTTGGTCAGAAAGCATAACTGATTCCAACTAAGAATGGAGGAATCAGATAGATACTACTCCTCTGATCTTTGGTAGAAAAGCCTAATGGTCATAGATAGAAACAAGCAGATTAATAGTATAGATTCTTGGTCAGAAAGCATAACTGATTCCAACTAAGAATGGCCAGGGTATCAGATAGATACTCCACTCTGATCTTTGGTAGAAAAGCCTAATGGTCATAGATAGAAACAAGCAGAATAATAGTATAGATTCTTGGTCAGAAAGCATAACTGATTCCAACTAAGAATGGCCAGGGTATCAGATAGATACTCCACTCTGATCTTTGATAGAAAGCCTAATGGCCATAGATAGAAACAAGCAGAATAATAGTATAGATTCTTGGTCAGAAAGCATAACTGATTCAACTAAGAATGGCCAGGGTATCAGATAGATACTACACTCTGATCTTTGGTAGAAAAGCCTAATGGTCATAGATAGAAACAAGCAGAATAATAGTATAGATTCTTGGTCAGAAAGCATAACTGATTCCAACTAAGAATGGCCAGGGTATCAGATAGATACTCCACTCTGATCTTTGGTAGAAAAGCCTAATGGTCATAGATAGAAACAAGCAGAATAATAGTATAGATTCTTGGTCCAGAAAGCATAACTGATTCCAACTAAGAATGGTCCAGGGTATCAGATAGATTCTGATCTTTGGTAGAAAAGCCTAATGGTCATAGATAGAAACAAGCAGAATAATAGTATAGATTCTTGGTCAGAAAGCATAACTGATTCCAACTAAGAATGGCCAGGTATCAGATAGATACTCCACTCTGATCTTTGTCTAATGACCATAGATAGAAAAAGCCTAATGGTCATAGATAGAAACAAGCCAGAATAATAGTATAGATTCTTGGTCAGAAAGCATAACTGATTCCAACTAAGAATGGCCAGGGTATCAGATAGATACTCCACTCTGATCTTTGATGAAAATCTTTGGCCATAGATAGAAAAAGCAGAATAATAGTATAGATTCTTGGTCAGAAAGCATAACTGATTCCAACTAAGAACGGCCAGATCAGATAGATACTCCACTCTGATCTTTGATAGAAAAGTCTAATCATAGATAGAAACAAGCAGAATAATAGTATAGATTCTTGGTCAGAAAGCATAACTGATTCCAACTAAGAATGGCCAGGGTATCAGATAGATACTCCACTCTGATCTTTGATAGAGAAGTCTAATGGCCATAGATAGAAACAAGCAGATTAATAGTATAGATTCTTGGTCAGAAAGCATAACTGATTCCAACTAAGAATGGCCAGGGTATCAGATAGATACTCCACTCTGATCTTTGATAGAGAAGTCTAATGGTCATAGATAGAAACAAGCAGAATAATAGTATAGATTCTTGGTCAGAAAGCATAACTGATTCCAACTAGAATAGGCCAGGGAATCAGATAGATACTCCACTCTGATCTTTGATAGAAGCATAAGTCTAATGGCCATAGATAGAAACAAGCAGAATAATAGTATAGATTCTTGGTCAGAAAGCATAACTGATTCCAACTAAGAACGGCCAAGGAATCAGATAGATACTCCACTCTGATCTTTGATAGAGAAGTCTAATGGCCATAGATAGAAACAAGCAGAATAATAGTATAGATTCTTGGTCAGAAAGCATAACTGATTCCAACTAAGAATGGCCAAGGAATCAGATAGATACTACACTCTGATCTTTGATAGAAAAGCCTAATGGTCATAGATAGAAACAAGCAGAATAATAGTATAGATTCTTGGTCAGAAAGCATAACTGATTCCAACTAAGAACGGCCAAGGAATCAGATAGATACTCCACTCTGATCTTTGATAGAGAAGTCTAATGGCCATAGATAGAAACAAGCAGAATAATAGTATAGATTCTTGGTCAGAAAGCATAACTGATTCCAACTAAGAATGGCCAGGGTATCAGATAGATACTCCACTCTGATCTTTGATAGAAAAGTCTAATGGCCATAGATAGAAACAAGCAGAATAATAGTATAGATTCTTGGTCAGAAAGCATAACTGATTCCAACTAAGAATGGCCAAGGAATCAGATAGATACTCCACTCTGATCTTTGATAGAAAAGCCTAATGGTCATAGATAGAAACAAGCAGAATAATAGTATAGATTCTTGGTCAGAAAGCATAACTGATTCCAACTAAGAATGGCCAGGGAATCAGATAGATACTCCACTCTGATCTTTGATAGAGAAGTCTAATGGCCATAGATAGAAACAAGCAGAATAATAGTATAGATTCTTGGTCAGAAAGCATAACTGATTCCAACTAAGAATGGCCAAGGAATCAGATAGATACTACACTCTGATCTTTGATAGAAAAGCCTAATGGTCATAGATAGAAACAAGCAGAATAATAGTATAGATTCTTGGTCAGAAAGCATAAAGATTCCAACTAAGAATGGCCAAGGAATCAGATAGATTCCTCTGATCTTTGATAGAAAAACCTAATGGCCATAGATAGAAAAAGCAGAATAATAGTATAGATTCTTGGTCAGAAACATAACTGATTCTAAGAATTGGGTAGATAGATACTCCACTCTGATCTTTGGTAGAAAAGTCTAATGGCCATAGATAGAAACAAGCAGAATAATAGTATAGATTTTTGGTCAGAAAGCATAACTGATTCCAACTAAGAATGGCCAAGGGTATCAATAGATACTCCTCTGATCTTTGGTAGAAAGACTATGGTCATGGCCATAGATAGAAACAAGCAGAATAATAGTATAGATTCTTGGTCAGAAAGCATAACTGATTCAACTAAGAATGGCCAGGGTATCAGATAGATACTCACTCTGATCTTTGATAGAAAAAAGTCTAATGGCCATAGATAGAAACAAAGCAGATTAATAGTATAGATTCTTGGTCAGAAAGCATAACTGATTCCAACTAAGAATGGCCAGGGTATCAGATAGATACTCCACTCTGATCTTTGGTAGAAAAGTCTAATGGCCATAGATAGAAACAAGCAGAATAATAGTATAGATTCTTGGTCAGAAAGCATAACTGATTCCAACTAAGAAGGGCCAGGGTATCAGATAGATACTACACTCTGATCTTTGATAGAAAAGTCTAATGGCCATAGATGAAACAAGCAGAATAATAGTATAGATTCTTGGTCAGAAAGCATAACTGATTCCAACTAAGAATGGCCAAGGAATCAGATAGATACTCCACTCTGATCTTTGATAGAAAAGTCTAATGGCCATAGATAGTATAGAAACAAGCAGATTAATAGTATAGATTCTTGGTCAGAAAAACCTAATGGCCATAGATAACAAGCAGATTAATTATAGATTCTAAAAGCGGCCAATGGAATCAGATAGATACTCCACTCTGATCTTTGATAGAAAAGTCTAATGGCCATAGATAGAAACAAGCAGATTAATAGTATAGATTCTTGGTCAGAAAGCATAACTGATTCCAACTAAGAATGGCCAGGGTATCAGATAGATACTCACTCTGATCTTTGGTAGAAAAGTCTAATGGCCATAGATAGAAACAAGCAGAATAATAGTATAGATTCTTGGTCAGAAAGCATAACTGATTCAACTAAAACGGCCAAGGATCAATAGATACTCACTCAGATCTTTGATAGAAAAGTCTAATGGCCATAGATAGAAACAAGCAGAATAATAGTATAGATTCTTTGGTCCATAGATAGAAACAAGCATTCTTGGTAGCATAATCTGATTCCAACTAAGAATGGGCAGGGTATCAGATAGATACTACACTCTGATCTTTGATAGAAAAGCCTAATGGTCATAGATAGAAACAAACAGAATAATAGTATAGATTCTTGGTCAGAAAGCATAACTGATTCCAACTAAGAATGGCCAGGGTATCAGATAGATACTACCTCTGATCTTTGATAGAAAGTCTAATGGCCATAGATAGAAACAAGCAGATTAAGAGTATAGATTCTTTCCAACTAAGAATAGGAAACAATCAGAATAATACTCCCTTATCTTCCAACTGGTGAAAAGTATAATTCTTGGTCAGAAAGCATAACTGATTCCAACTAAGAATGGCCAAGGAATCAGATAGATACTCCCTCTGATCTTTGATAGAAAGTCTAATGGCCATAGATAGAAACAAGCAGAATAATAGTATAGATTCTTGGTCAGAAAGCATAACTGATTCCAACTAAGAAGGGCCAGGGGTATCAGATAGATACTCCACTCTGATCTTTGATAGAGAAGTCTAATGGCCATAGATAGAAACAAGCAGATTAATAGTATAGATTCTTGGTCAGAAAGCATAACTGATTCCAACTAAGAAGGGCCAAGGAATCAGATAGATACTCACTCTGATCTTTGATAGAAAAGTCTAATGGCCATAGATAAAAACAAGCAGAATAATAGTATAGATTCTTGGTCAGAAAGCATAACTGATTCCAACTAAGAATGGCCAGAGGATCAGATAGATACTACACTCTGATCTTTGGTAGAAAAGCCTAATGGTCATAGATAGAAACAAGCAGAATAATAGTATAGATTCTTGGTCAGAAAGCATAACTGATTCCAACTAAGAAGGGCCAGGGAATCAGATAGATACTACCCTCTGATCTTTGGTAGAAAATTCTAATGGCCATAGATAGAAACAAGCAGAATAATAGTATAGATTCTTGGTCAGAAAGCATAACTGATTCCAACTAAGAATGGCCAGGGTATCAGATAGATACACTCTGATCTTTGGTAGAAAATACCTCTAATGGTCATAGATAGAAACAAGCAGAATAATAGTATAGATTCTTGGTCAGAAAGCATAACTGATTCCAACTAAGAAGGGCCAGGGAATCAGATAGATACTACACTCTGATCTTTGGTAGAAAAGTCTAATGGTCATAGATAGAAACAAGCAGAATAATAGTATAGATTCTTGGTCAGAAAGCATAACTGATTTAATTTCCAACTAAGAATTTGGGAATTACTTTTTCTTTTTCTTTTAGAAAAGTCTTTAGATTCAGAATTTGTTTCTTGGTCCTTTCTTCTCTTTTTGAAATTTCCTTTTTCTTCTAGATACTACCTCTGATCTTTGGTAGAAAAGTCTTTTCCTTTAATAGTATAGATTTTTCAGAAGTTTCAATTGATTCTTTTTCCTTTTTCTTTTTCTTTTTTTCACCCTTTCTTCTTTGTTTCTTTTTTTCCTTTCTTCTCTTTTCCTTTCCCTTTTTCTTCTCTTTTCCTTTCCCTTTTTCTTCTCTTTTCTTTTCCCCCTTTCGTCTCCTTTTCCCTTCCCCCCTTTCTTTTTTTCTTTCCCTTCCCCCCTTTCTTATCTTCATTCTCTCCCTCCACCTTCTCCCAACAACGTTAGAGTAAATCTGTATTTGTAATTCATGTCTCTTACATTAACACACTTGGCGGTGTGATATTTTTTAAAATTTAAAATCAATCCTGAAGATGAAAGTGAATCAGGCTAGAAATAATCATGATATGACATGTAAAAAATCTGTACTACTTAAACATAATAGATTCTTTCTTTCCACATTTAAATTCTTTTCTCCTTTTTCATGTATGTTTGTGTTCTCTTGAATTTCATGATATTAGATAAACCAGTTTTAATTATTAATTCTTTGACAAGAACTTCTTCCATCTTGAGTTCAGTTGCTTTCTATTGCCATGAATCAGACAGTCTTTCTACAGTTGTTAGTAAATGATACAAATTAGAATGAGTAGCAACTAAAATTAAGATAAAAAATATTTGTTAAAAAGTAATAATTAGTTTTTAATGTTTGATAAACTGAGACCGTCACCTAGGCCTGAGTGTAGTGCTCTTGAACCCTCTAACCTTGGCATGTCTGATTGGGGGCCCCTAGCAATGCTTTGTCATCTGTATTATCTTATCAACATTTGTGTTTTTTTACCTGCATTTTATCACGTTAAAAATTCAATTAGGCACAACTATGTAACGTTGAAAAATGTTATGGATTTTGATGTTGTTCTGGTGTCTTTTATGAATTTGTTTTCCTCATTTGTTAAAATTATTCAACTTTTAACAAGGAAAATCTCAAATCTATGTTAAAAATTGACACAAAGCATTGTCGATTCATTTAAGATGGAATGATCTATTATGACGTGTCTCTAATTTGTATTTAGATACATTGTATTTATTTTCAGTTTTAAATTGTTTACCTATATTGCATAATGAATTTATTGTAAATAATTAAGTTATTGTTAAATAAATGAACATTATTAAATAAATATTATTATACTGCACAAGTTATTTTATTACATAACTTTTGGGAAATCTCAAGTTGATGTTAAAAATTGCTGTAAAAAACATTGATTTAAGATGGAAGGATCCATTAGGAAAGCACTGTGGAGTAATGGATTATGGCTCGGATTGAGGAATCAGAGAGCCAGATTCAAATTCCAATCAGATCTATTACATTCACTTATATGCTAATAATCCTGGGAAAGGTATGAATCCTCTTCTTCTCCCCCAAGCTATGGGTAAAATAACAGGACAGACTGGGTTCTATATCCTTGGTTGATAACCAGTATATAAAGTAACTCTGAATTCAACAACCGGCCTGGAGAGGATTGGGTTCTGTCAGGCTATCTTCCCCAAGAAATAACCAATTCTACTGCAACTGCAGGACACATGGTGCCCCAATGACCCTAATGGGTGACAGAATTTGTGATCGCTTGATCTATTATGACATGTCTCTAATTTGTATTTAGATACATTGGATTTATTTTCAATTTTGAATTGTTTACCTATATTGCATATGATGAATTTACTGTAAATAATGAGGTTACAATAAAATTTACATTTCATATAAATTCTACCTTATGAAAATTGAGGTGTGGTAGAGTCTGTATGTATGGTTGTATCATAGATGGGTGGTGCACGATACCCTTGCACCGACCCTGTTCCCGCCGCTTCAATTGACTATTGTTGTTGACTAATTTCAGTTGATTTATGTACTTTCAGGGCATTGTATTCTCAGTTTGTACATGAAATGATTGTGAAACCCGGATCGACTGTAAACAATAAGAATAACGCTGATGTCACAATGGAGGACCATGTGAGTATTAAGGAATTTTGTATTAAGTCTTATTTTGACTCTGTTTTCATTGCAGTCGGATGACCCCATAGATTTTGACATCTCACTTTTGTCGATTAGTCATAGAGGCAACTGTTTTCATTGCAGTCAGCTGACACCATAGATTTTGACATCTCACTTTTGTCGATTAGTCATAGAGGCAACTGTTTTCATTGCAGTCAGCTGACACCATAGATTTTGACATCTCACTTTTGTCGATTAGTCATAGAGGCAACTGTTTTCATTGCAGTCAGATGACACCATAGATTTTGACATCTCACTTTCGTAGATTAGTCATAGAGGCAACTTCTTGATGATATTGTCTGGGGATAAAATTTCAGCATGTGGAACTGTTTGGAAGCATCTGGAAACCATGTTATATGTTGACCCAA